GCTCGGGGGACCGGCGCGGCGACTCCGCCCGAGGAGGCACCTCAGGGCCCGCGGACGGGGTTTGACGGGGAGGGCGGGCGAGGAAGGGCGCGCGGGACAGAGGACGGCTGCGGAGCGGGGACAGCCGGCCGGGAGGGAACCGGAGCGGGCCGCGGTGTCCAGAGCGGCGGGAAGAAAGCCCGGGAAGCAACGCGGACTGAAGTAAGCCGCGCCTTCAGCAGCGCCATTGTCAGGAAGCCCTGAGGCGCATTCGGGACTTGGTTCTATAAGGAACCTTAGAAAATAAGTACACGTGCAGTACTAACAAATGCGCGTAATGAAAAAACGTAATGACACAGACTGTGCGTGAGCAGGATGTAGTTTTCCACAGCGATATTTGCATTGTGTTAACTACACACATTGACCACTTTCTTTGTGTAGCTAATTTTCCACTTAAAATTGGGGGACTTACAGTGTATCATGTGACTACAGTGAAACTCTGTGTCTTGGCATAGATTTGTGCCCAGTGACTGCCCAACCTACTCTTCTACTTATTTTTTATTAGGAAATACTGCTTCAGAAATGTTTTAGATCAAATGCAATTTAAAACATATATAATTTGGACGACTTTCAAGGCAGGGCAGTGGACCACAAGTGACATAATTCAGCTGCAACATTTAGGAATGAAGTTCAGGTGCACAAATAGATGATTCTGAGTGTGAATTTTTAATTCTTTTTTTCTTTCATAAGTAACAGTTGGAACACTGGTGCTTGGAATCACCTTTGCAAAAATAGTAGTTTGGAGGCTTTGGTAAAGCTTGGAAAATATTATCTTACACTGTACTGTGTTTTACCATGCATATGGAAATCAGAAGTTCAGTGTGTATTGTAAGATCAGAAAAAATATTTTATCTTTTTAATTGGACTTACATTTTTTTGGTGTCATGTATACATAAAATTCTGCCATGTGGAGGTCCTTGAAACCAAAGATCGGAGCTACAATTTGAGTCAACTGAATTAGGCCAACTCACTTTGCAGTATTATGGAGGTAAACATGCTTATGACTGCAGGATGAAGAGTGGATTGGACGGAGCTTAGAGGTCAGTTAGAAGTCTGAACCGGTGTATAGACAAGAAGTGCTAATGGTCTGAAAGAAAAATGGCTATAGTTTTAGATACATTATAGGAAAATAATCACGAGAATAGTGCCACTTAAATAAGAGCAAAGAATAGAGGGATGGCTGTCAGAATGAGATGCTGCAGAAAGACTTAGAGTAGGGACTCGGCAAATATGTTTCTTGAAACCTTGGTAAGAACAGTTAGGTCAGGTAGGGGCACTTTAGAGTTCTTTTCTTTTTATTTTCTTGCTTAAAGCTGGGAACAACCTAAGCATGATTATATATGGAAAGATAGAAGTCGGTGCAGAGGAGGACATTTAAAGTGCAGAGAGGCGATGGTTGGTGAAAAAGATACAAAGATTTGGTAGGCAAACAGTGCATATTCTTTGTACAGTGTTTGTGGTTTATAAGGACAGGATGACTGTGGCTGTTATATTGAGGTGCACATCACAGAATAACTACAGTTTTCTTAATGTGCTACCAGAGAACCTAGGCTCTATCATATATTTATCTGTTCATTTGTTGTATCTATCGCCTAAAATTTTTATAGTGCTCATCAATATTAACCACATGGATTCCTTCTCTGAACAGTTACAATGGAATTCTTGGAGTGTAATTACCACTGAAGGATATATACCAAATAAATAATTAAATAAGAAATTATCCAGCTACAATTGCGATACTGCTATGAAAGAAGAGTGTTGAAAGTTAAAGGTACCTAGTTAAGAAGGAGCTCATGTGACCTGAGGGCACTTTCAAAGATTAAAATGTACCTAGCTGATATCTAAAAGTGTTCTCTCTTTTTAGCAAGTTAGCCACAATTCCCTGGTGATCCCATCTCCTACCCCATCCTTGGTCTCATTGTTTTCTATTCACTGTTGAACTCAGTCTCCCCTTTCTTAAGCATTTCAAATGTGTTTTGCCTGTGGGTTGGGTGGTAGGATGGACAAACTTTCAAGAACTAAGACTTGGCCAGGATCTTTTTCAAGTCTTTTTGCTGTATCACAGTAACTAAATGTGAACTAAATGGACATTTAATTGTATTCATGCTATGTTAGGCGAAGAAAAGAGTTTAGGGGATGGCAAATCAATGGTCAGCCACAGCCACCACAGACTTAGCCTCTTAACATCCTTTAGAGAAACCACAGCAAACAAATTTGGAAAAATGATAGGAAAAATGATTTCCTATCATTTCTTAGCAGGAATTTTGGTAACAGCTAATGAAAACTAGTCCTTTCTTTTTTCTTTCATTTAAAATTCTGATGTTTTCAGGGTCAAGTGACCGGGGAATAAGTATCCACTCCTGTACCTGCAGGGAAGAAAGGTACTATGACTGCTATCATTTTTGCATTTATATAGCACTAAAATGTTGACTAAGTGCTTTTGCAGTCAATATTATTGTTCAGTTTAAAAGGTAGCCTAAAATCACTTCTGTGAAAATGTGTTTTGCATGATTCAGAGATTTTTTTCTATGATGTAGAACTTTCAGATAAATCAAGATTAGATGTAATATAAAACAATGTCATTATCTGAAGAGAATAAGCTATTAGTAGAAAATACTAGCCTCCTGACACTTTTTGTTACCTGCTCTAACGATGAAAGAAAATAGAAATAAATAAAAAACACAATAGTAGAAATACAACCTTCCTTAAGATATGGTTTGTAAGTAGGGCAATCAGGGGTGTTGAAAGGCAATCTGTGTCTTTTAAAATATCATCCTTAAAGTATTATGTTTTGGGTAAAATTTTCTGTACAATGCCAGAGAGTATTTCCAGGTTTGCAGGCCATAGTATTTTATTGGACAGCTGTGGCATTCTAGGGCAAAAGTAGAGATAAATGAATGAGGATGGCTCTTTCAATAGAGCCTTGTTTATAAAAGCATGATACCCTGATTTGACCTGTAGGTCATTGCTTACCCTATGACATCAGCATCTCTGATATTCCATAGTGAACAGGAAGTGGTAGAGATTAAAATGATTGATAAAAGTTCGACGTGGGCAGTGATGGACTTATGTTGATTGTTGTATCTTCATGCTTAGTACAGTGCCTGACAGGTGGGAAGGAGTTAAAAACACATCTCCTGAATGAAGGAATAAATAGCAAGGGTATCTGATAGAAAATTGCCTAAGATAAGCTAGACACTTCTGTGTTCAGATTTCTAGGTTCTGTAACAAAAAACTACCATTTTAGGTACAGCAGACACTGAATTTTTGTACTTAGTTTAAAGAATAGATGCAGAGAAAGTATCTGAAGAATGATAAAAATAATAGTGAGAAGCATGTAGGCCTGGGAATCTCCACCAGTAAAAATGCAAATTAGTATCCTTTGGAAGGGAACTGACAGAGAGTATATCTTGATCTCTCTCCTAGTCCAGGGCCTTCATTGTCTGCCCTTAGTTTTATGCAGTTTTTTTTTAGTATCTGTGCTATACTGTCTCTTCCTCTATTCCCTTTGGATACTTTCCAAGTTCTTGCCCACCCTGCAGGTACCTGTGGTCTTCCAGTCTTAAGGACTGGGTCACAACACAAATTGGGAGTTCACTTCTCATTGTTGGCTCTGTCTGTCTCTGTCTGTCCCTGTCTGTCTCTCCCTCCTTCCCTTCCTCCTCACCCTGATGCCCCCTTCCTTGCCTTGCCTCCTTCCCTCCCAGTTCTGGTAACTGATCCCTCCTGTCTTGCCTTTAGGCTTGGGAAAGTAAAGGATTAAAGAATGCTCATATCTTATTGCTGATATTCCTAACCCCTAAGTCACTGTGTTACTTGCTCAAAGTCTGTGTTACTCACTGAAATAACTCACTGGCTCCTCCCTTTACTCTGAATCTTAACTGAATCAGTTTTTCTTCTGTCTCAGGCCCTTTCCACCGTGCTGTTTGGACCTGCCAACCATGGACTAAAACTGCTGATACAGTGAGCTATAATAAACCTGTTCTTGTTTAAGTTGTAAGTATTAGGTATCATGTTTCAGTCACCAGGAAAGTGACTAAGATAGATTTTAGTATTAGGAAAGTGGGTTTCTTGCCCTAATTCTACCTGACCATGTGGTTTAAAAGCCTTTGGTTTTCAGAAGGGGCTTGGAACGATTTGGAGGTTCAGGTTAGAGAACTTTTAGAATGCTTTAAACTGAGCTTGACAAAAGATTCAAGTGAGAGCTTAGAAGACCAAAATGCTGATTGAAATGCTTCTGGTAATGATTAGGCTCAGGAGGTTTCAGTTGGAAACAAGGACTCAGTTGAAAGTTGAACAGGAGACCATATATGTTATGTTCTGGCAGAAAATGTGTTTTTATTTTCCACATGTTCTGAGACACTGCAGGAGACTAAGATTAAGGGTAGCAGACTAATCTGGCAGAGAAAACTTTAAGGCATCTCAGTGTTAAGCTTGTGGCATGGGTACTGCTGACTGCCTCTAATAGCCAGATTCACAGTGAGATTCAGAACAAAAAAAATAATTTAAAAAGTTTTCCATTTTGCCAGACATGAAGCACCTGAAAAGCTGGAGCAAAGAGAGTTTGGTGGCTAGAAAGACTTACATTAAAAAGAAGCCAAATACTTGTCCTCAAGACAATAGGAAAGATGCCTTAGTGGCATCTCAGCAATCAGCAAGACTCTACTGTTCACTGGCTTAAAGATGGAAAAGTAAAAGTCTTTATTTTGAAAAGAGAGCCTCAAGAGTATCCTGCTTGAGAAGGGCTGCCTCGGAAGTTAGCTCCCTAGAACTTGTTCACAGTGCGCAACCATCCAGACACTGGGAGACCTCTGCAGACATGAATAAAGAAAGTCCACGTATTGTTCCAGCTAGTGACAGACCTTGGTGTCATTCATGTAGTGCAAGTTGTATAGGCAGAATCCAAGAGTTGTGAGGTGAGTGAGAGTCCTACCCAGATTTAGAAGAAGGCCTGGGAGACCAGGCATTGTGCTCCTGAGAGGGCAGTGTGTGAAGCTGTGAGAGTGAAGGCAAAAGTGCAGTGGAAATCCCAGGAAGTAAGAGAAACTAGGAACTTAAAATATCTTATAAGGAAAGCCACAGGCAGTGAGCATAGCCACCCTAAGAAAGAAGCCATGCCAGCTGCAACTGGCAGTGGTATAGGGATGGATGTTCCCAAGTTCCTTAAAGCTCACTAGAATTTAACCTGAGTACTGGACATGAAATTACACGATTTACCCTGTTAGGTTTTCATCTTGCTTTTATTCCTTTCCTGTCTATCCCTCTATTTCTCTGTTTTGGAATGGGAATGTTTACCATGTCATTGTACATCAGCTGTGGTTAACCATCTTTTTATTTTTATGTTTATTATTATTATTTTGTTTAATGAGACAGGGTCTCACTATGTAGCCCAGGCTGGCCTTGATGTCCTGGCTGTCCTCCTGTCTCAGCTTCCTGAGTGCTGGCATTACAGACATGTACCACCACAGCTGACTTTATTTATTATTTTTTTCAGGGGCTCACAGATAAGAGTTTGCCAAGGGTCTCAGAGTAGACTTTGGACTTAGATTTTCAGCAGTTCTGGAACTAAAAAAATTTAGCAAATATTAGAGATGGACTAAATGAATTTTGCACAAAGACATGAACATGATTATTTTGGGAGCCATTGGTGGGATGTTACATTTTATATCTGGGATATATCCTCAAAAATCTTTTGTGTTTCATGGTGATTGGATCAAAGAGCTGGTGTATTATCAGTGGGTTAGTGCAGTGATGACTTAATATCTGGAGGTGGGGCCTGGTTAGAGGAGGGCCACTGGGGTTGTGACCTGGAAGGGTATATTTTCCTCCGTCTTTTCCTTTTCCTCTCTACTTCCTGGTTGCATGACATGAGCAGTTTTCCTTAAGCCATGCAGTTTTCTGCATTTGAGGTGCTAGTCATGGACTGAAACTTCTGAAACTCAGCCACAATAAACCTCCCCTCCTTTAAGTTGGGGATGTTAGGTATTATGCTTCAGTGACAAGGAAAGCAACTAAGACAGGAAGGAAGCATGGCAACTTTACCTGCAAAGATAAACATGAGAAGGACCAACATCTCTTCTTCCTTTATTTGTAAACATAAGGCAGAATGTGATACTCCTTCCTTTCACTCCTTAACCTCTGCTCACTTAAGCATCGTACTCATGAAAGGTTGTCTTTGATGCCCTCTTAACTTTTTTTCCCAACACTGGGGTCTTATCTGTATTTAAAATTTTCTATTAAGGGTGTAAAATAACAGATTTTTGTTTCATATGTGTGTGATACTACAGATTGAACCCAGGGCTTTCACACTGAGGTTCTTCCCCACCTGTCTTTTTTTCATTTTTTATTTTGAGACAGGGTATCTCTACATCACTGACTTGCCCAGGTTTGGCTCAAATTTGTGATTCTCCTGTCTCAGCCTCCATGAATGCTGAGATTTTAGGTATGTGCCACCACAGCTCCCTCACATTGGCAGACCTTTACCAGGCAGTTTCCGTTATACCATTTTTTATTGCTTTTCTTCAAAATATCAAACGTATATCAGTCATCCTTTTACTATTTTAGACAACACTATTTAAAATGTTTTGTTGAACTTTAGGTTTCATATCTAAATAGTAGACCTCAGTAGGGTCCTAGATTTTTAGTGTCTCATTCTGTTCTTTATTCTTTTGTCTTTTTCTGATTATTTACACTTTTTTATGTCTTGTGTTATAACAATTTAATCTTGGAAATATAACAAAATATTTTTGAACTTAGTGATTTTTTTGGTTGGTGAGCAAACTGACTTTGTAAATCATCTAAAGTAGGTTCCTAAGTATACCATTATGTCAATTTTTGTAATGAAAGTCCAATTTAGTTTATAACAGGCCTCCCACATATCTGTCATCTTCTTTAACTTTTTTCTTCTGATTTATTCAATGAATGCCTTTACCATCTTATTTTTGATTAGATTATTTTCACTATGGCAGAGTTCTGGAAAATAAATCCTTTTGGATTTAATGTGTGCTAGTTTAATATGAATGGATAGAAGAGTAAAAACAATCCATTAGAAAGTAATTCTGATTGTTATAGAGATTTTACTTTTTTAATCTTTGATCTAATTGTTGGAAAATATATTTCAGAGCCTGTTTATTGATTTCTTTTCCTATATCTTCTTTATTCATGAATATCTATCTCTTACAGATTAAAAAAAGCTATTCTTGTCATTCTTTTAAAGTCCCCCCATATAGGCCTTCCAATAGCTAGTTATTTGATATTCTCTTCTTTTTATCACGTAAAAGCTTGTGAGAAAAGGAGAATTTTTATCTCTCATACTGGACAAAATCAATCAGTGGTGCTGAATATTTGCTAGTAGATTGTAAATTTATTATGATAACCTGCCGTTTTTAACCATGCACAAAAACTTATGTGATCCTTGAGAGGTTTTTGCTTTCTAAAAATTTCTTTTACAGGTATGTCTCCTAAGTAATCCACTACTATAAAAATAGTTTTCATTTTTAATTAAAAAAACTGCCCACTATCCATAAACCATCTATTTGTTGGTTACTAGGCAGTATTTCAACTATTGCTCTCATCACAGGTTTCCAAAACCAAAATGTGTTTGCAAATATGCGTGTCAGTGCAAGTAATGACACCATAATTACAGGCAGCAAAGGAAGCAGCAATTGCAACTCAAAGACCCTGGGTCTGTGTTTCATACTAGATTGCTGCTATAAAAATCTTTAGTGGTAAATAGTAAACAGTTTTCTTGTCTTTTCCAAAAGACAACTACTGCATAAGACCACCAAGGAAGGAACTGATTTATGCTACATGGCTGGGAGCCAAATTCTTAATTATCCATATGCTGACCTCATTTTTATCACTCACTGATAAAATTAAAGAATTAAGGAAGCAACTTCAAAGAGTGATTTGTATACTCTACATTATTTTGTACATTTTGAACTTTCCAATAATTTTAGTGCACATTTCTAATTGAGGTCCATTACTTCGTTGACCTGACATTGCAGTCATGTTTTAGCTTTTTGCCACTTGCCCTGTCACTTTTCCATCTGGCAAGAAGTCCTGTCATTTGACAAACACCTCTCAGAGCTTCCTGTATTGTTTGTGCAAACACTCAGGTTTTAGGCCTAGCTCTCCTTCCGGCCCTTCCTACAGTCTGTTTTCATAATCCCCTTACTCCTTACTACTCAGCATAATATTCTTCTTGAAACACCACTTTTATTATTTCCCTCATATTCTCTGATGGATGTGCTGGCACCCACTGCAGGAAGTTCAGACATTTCTTACTGATTCTCAGGTCCTCAATTTCCCTAGCTATTCCACTTATTCTCTAAAACATCATAATCTTTAGTCAAGGACATCACGTGTGCTCCCATAAATATCTATGCTGTTATCTGCTGCCTGCTCAGTCCAACATTTTTGAAGTGCTTTTTTGGAGCTCTGAGTAGTCACCCTTCAGAATTTGAGACCTACCTCACAAGTCTTTCCTCATCCTATTTGAACCAACTCACACACCTCTTTTCTTGGCCCCTTGATAGATGTTTAGTCAGATCCATGCTCCTATACAGGTTTCAGAGGTAGTAAGTCTAGGATTGAGTCATCAGCACACACATGGTCAAGTGGGTCAAGCATGGCAGTGAATTCACTATGCCCTTGTTAGAGTTCATAATGATCATGTGTCAGTTTAACTAATTTCATTCCCCCAGCAGCTTTGTAAATTAGGAATTATTTTGATTCCCATTTTACAGATGAGGAAAGTGGCAGGGAGAGGTAAGATAATCTCTGTTTCAGATCATATAGCTAGTAAGAAGGGGAGCTATACAACATGGACCCTGAAACTATTCCCTCTGCAAATCTTATTTCTTGATACATCATCAAAATAGTTCTGGATGAGATTTTAGGGATTACTCTGGCTTATCTCCATGGGGAGATAAGGATCAATCAAGCTTTCTCATCTGTAGGTGTTCTGGAGTTAATAGGCCTGTGTATCTATGCGT